ATGTGGAGGGTGGGGGGGTAAGAAGAATGAGGTACATGGAGGGTAAGTGAGGGGGTAACTGGGGGGGTAAGATGAAGATCAGGGGATGTGGAGGGTGTAAGAAGAGTGAAGGCTGCGGGGGGCAACTGGGGTAAGGTGAAGGGTGAAGATCAGGGCATGCAGAGGGTAGGGGGTTGGGTGACTGGGGGGTAAGAAGAGGGAAGAGTGTGGTAAGTGGGGGGATAACTGGGGTAACGGGTAAGATGAAAGGTTGAAGATCAGGGGGTGTGGAGGGTGGGGGGATGTAAGAAGAGTGAAGAGTGAGGTACATGGAGGCTGTGGGGGGTAACTGGGGTAAGGTGAAGGGTGAAGATCAGGGTATGCAGAGGGTAGGGTGATTGGGGGGTAAGTGAGGGGGATAACTGGGGCAATGGGTAAGATGAAAGGTTGACGATCAGGGTAGACGGGGGGGGATGTCAGAAGAGTGGGGTATGTGGAGGGTAAGGGGATAACTGGGGTAAGATGAAGGGTGAAGATCAGGAGATGGGGGTGACTGGAGTAACTGGGGGGCTAAGAAGAGTGAAGAGGGGGCTATGTGGAGGCCAGGTGAGGGGTAAGTGGGGAGATAACGGGGGTAAGGTGAAGGTTGAAGATCAGGGTATGTGGAGGGTGGGGAGATGGGAGAATAGCTGAGGTAAGAAGAGGGAAGAAGGCTAGGCTGGGAGGGGGGTGGGAGCTCTGTTGGGTTTGTATGTAGGAAAGCTCACAGTTATCCCCCCCCCCAGTGTGGCAGGTGCCAGAGGGAGGGAGGGGCAACTGGGGTGCAGGTGGGGCAACCAGAGAAGCAGGGTGAGTGGGAGACATGTTGGGGTAACTGTGGGTGGGAAGAAGGGCAGAATAATCAGGGTAAATGCAGGGTAAGATGAAGAAGGAAGATCAGGGTGTGTGGAGAGTGATTTGGTGGCAACTGGGGTGTGTGGGGCTGGGAGATCAGCCTGTGGGGTGCAGAGATGTGCGGGGTGGAATATATGAGAGGTAAAGGGACGTATCTGGAGATGGATTTTGTTGAGGTCTGTGTGGAGGAAGAAGAAAGGGAGCTCCAGGGGGACATATGAGGCTGTATTCATGGTCCTCAGCCCTCTGCGTCTGGTCCTAACAACCACCCTGTGAGGTGGGTTACACTAAGGGAGAATAATGGCATCTGGGGCAAGAGGTGACTCAGAGGGGAAACAGGTTATGGGAAGTAAGGGCCACGTGTCCCGAGTTCAAGAGCAGTGAGAGCCGAGAATGGAGAGGATGATCACTCTCTCTAAGAGCCAACGTCAATTGTGAGTGCCAATGTCTGCGTACTGTAGACAAATTGGAGCCATAAGAAAGCAAGAGAGGATGCTGTCTCCATTTAGCAAAGGGACTGCAAATTTAAAATCCAACATGTATCATAATGCCGTTTTGCAAATCTCAGTTGCAACCACCTATGGAGTACTGTGTACAGTTCTGGTTACCTTGCTTTAGAAAATGTGAACTGGGAAAAGTTCAGAAGGTGGAGAAAAGTTTTTTCTCATTTTCATAACACCAGGAAGCTGAACAGTTCAGGGCAGACAAAGAAAAGTACTCCTTCCCACAGCGCTTTGTTAAACTATGGAACTCACTGCCACAAGAGGTCACGCTGCTCATCCACCTGAATGGCTTTAAAAATGGATTAGACAAATAGCCCATCAGTGCCATCTAACCACAGTGGTTTAGTATTCTCTCTCCACTGTCAGAGGTGGGGTGTCTTGGAATACCGGCTATTGGGAATCAGGGCAGGGGGCGCGCAGTAAATGCTCTTGTGTTCAGACTTGTGGCCAGTGGTTGGCCGCTGTGAGAACAGGCTGCTGGACTAGGTGGTCTGCTGGCCTGATCCAGCTGCAGGCCTCTTCTGATCTTACGTGTCGGCATGGATTGGCGTATCCTAGGAAAGGGCTTATCTCTCTGGGGAGAAAGCCCTGCAGAGGAGGACTATGGTGCGCTCTGTCCGCTTGCAAATTTTGAAATGTTTCTGTCTCTCCGCCTTTCCCTTTGAATCCAGGGCAGCAAACACAATTGCGTGTTTTGAATGAGCTCAGGTAGGAAAGTGGGCAGGTTCCGCTAAGGCAGAGCAGCCGGAAGGAATTTTTCAAATTTTATTTCCTGGCCTGGAGGAGAGCGTTTGCCTCCAAGGTGCTACGTGGGCTTCGCTTTGGGGAGGCAGGTCCTTCTGTCTGACCCAGAGCTGCTGTGATGTGATCATTTCCTGAGCAGAGAAAGAGAGGGTGCTAATTCTGGCCCAATACCCAATTTTTAAACACTTTCCCTCTCTCCTTCCTAAATTAGAATTCTCCTAGGTAGCTCAGGAGAGCTGGGGAGGGGGTGAGATTTAAAATAAAATAATATGGTGGAAAATGGCTCATTTTTTAGGGGTTTTTTTGTACATCCCACCTGAGAGCTGTTTCTCCAGGCTCTGTCGACTTGAGCCTGTCAGCTCAGGAAGTACCCCTGTGCACGTTAAGAGTGCTATTCCTTTGAGAAAGGGCTGTACCCGTTGAGTACCATGATGTTATATGGTCCTTTGATTAGAATCTGTACTTGTTTCAATACATTGATATATTTCTGCAACCTGCAGTCAGGGAGGGTTGGGTTGTACATACGTAAAATAAAAATAAATAAGTAATAGAGGGAGAGACCCACGAGGGTCATCTAGTCCAACCCGCTGCAATTCAGGAATCCTGCCTTCAGGCACCCCTGGGTGGGCTCGAACCACTAACCTTCTGGTTAACAGCCAGGCGCACTGACCCATTGTGCCACACTATGGCTCTAGCAGCCGCAGCCAGCACAGGCAGTGGTCAAGAATGATGGGAGTTGTAGTCTAAAGCAGGAGGAGGCTGACATCTTGGCTACTGCCCCTGTTGTAAGCAAAAGCGGGGTCTTCCGTTGCGGGGTGCGGTGACTCTGCCTTCATCATCTCCTCCTCCTCCTTTCTGCCAGTGTTTGAAATTCCCCGGGTGGTTTGCTACTGACGCCGGTCCAATTGCAGCTGCTCGGAGATTTCTGGGCACCGGGTTGGCAACCAACGTCTTACATTGAGCCAACTGACTAGTGCGCAGCAAAAGGCGCGTGTCTTGTTCACCCGCGTTGCTGTGTCAATTGCAGACCCCTTGCTGCTCATCTTGGTGCTCCCTTGTCACGTCAATGAATGTGTAGGGCTGAGTGCAGAGATATAGTCACACCTCAGGTTACGGACGCTTCAGGTTGCGTTTTTCGGGGTGCGGACTGCCAAAACCTGGAAGTACCGGAATGGGTTACTTCTGGGTTTTGGTGGTTGTGCATGCACAGAAGCGCAAGGTCACGCTTTGTGCAGAAGCGCCGAATTGCAACACACGCATGCACAAACGCTCCGCTGTGGGTTGCGAACGTGCATCCCGCACGGATCACATTCACAACCCGAGTGTCCACTGTACTTGACTTTGCTGCAGCTGTTCCACCCAAATGGAACTCACGAACCACCGTTTAAAGACCTCTGCCCTAGCCCATAGTCAATACTATTTCCATTTTCCCTGCGTGTGTTTCTCCTTCTTGCATACCTGGGAAGCAGGTGGCGCTGTAATCTAAACCACTGAGCCTCTTGGGCTTGCCAATCAGGAGGTCAGCGGTTCGAATCCCCGCGACAGGGTGAGCTCCCGTTGCTCAGTCCCAGCTCCTGCCAACTTAGCAGTTCAAAAGCATGCCAGTGCAACTAGATAAATAGGTACCGCTGCGGCGGGAAGGTAAAAGGCGTTTCCGTGCTCTCTGGTTTCCGTCACAGTGTCCCCTTGTGCAGGTAGTGGTTTAGTCATGCTGGCCACATGACCCAGAAAGCTGTCTGTGAACAAATGCCGGCTCCCTCAGCCTGAAAGCGAGATGAGCGCCTCAACCCTATGGTTGCCTTCCACTGGACTTAACCATCCAGGGGTCCTGTTTTAAGAACTAGCAGTTCGAAAGCACGTCAAAGTGCAATAAGATAAATAGGTACTGCTCCGGTGGGAAGGTAAATGGCGTTTCCGTGCGCTGCTCTGGTTCGCCAGAAGCGGCTTAGTCCTGCTGGCCACATGACCCGGAAGCTGGACACCGGCTCCCTCGGCCAGTAAAGCAAGATGAGCGCCGCAACCCCAGAGTCGGTCACTTCACAATGAAGCAATGTAGTAGAATCGATCAGTTTGGATCCCCAAAGGTCATCCAGTCCAACCCCCTGGCAAACAGCCGTTCCGTTGTGGCGATTGCGACCCAGGTTTAAGGGGCCGCTTGCCCCCTAGCTTATACAGTGGTACCTCGGGTTAAGTGCTTAATTCATTCTGGAGGTCTGTTCTTAACCTGAAGCACCACTTTAGCTAATGGGGCCTCCTGCTGCCACCGTGCCGCCGGAGCCCAATTTCTGTTCTCACCCTGAAGCAAAGTTCTTAACCTGAAGCACTATCTCTGGGTTAGCGGAGTGTGTAACCTGAAGCGTATGTAACCTGCAGCGTATGTAACCTGAGGTACCACTGTATATCTAGGAGTTCCTAACACGGCTCTCCGCCTCCCGCAGGTTAATTCCTGGAGCGGCTCCATCGAGATTGGCGTGACGGCCTTGGACCCTAACCACCTCGACTTCCCCAGCAGCGCCACGGGCCTCAAGGGCGGCTCCTGGATCATCTCGGGCTGCTCGGTGCTTCGGGACGGGCGCTCTATCCTGGAGGAGTATGGGCAGGATCTGGACCAGCTGGGCGAGGGCGACCGCGTGGGGATCCAGCGCACGGCCAACGGGGAGCTGCGCCTCTGGGTCAACGGGCAGGACTGCGGCGTGGCTGCCACTGGCATCCCCCTCCACGTCTGGGCCGTGGTGGACCTGTACGGCAAGTGCACCCAGATCACGGTGGTGCCCAGCAGCCCCGAGGAGGCGGAAGAGGCAGTCGCGCACGATGAAGGTACGGGAGAACGGCTGGCCTGCAAGGCATCTCGGGAAGGGGGGCGCTTGGCCAATGGCTGCTGGGTGGCCCAGTTGGTTAGAGGCTGGGGCGCTGATAACGGCAAGGTTGCCGGTTCGATCCCCGTAAGGGACAGCCGCCTATTCCTGCATAGCAGGGGGCTGAACTAGAAAAAACTGGCAGTGATCTGAGTTGTTAAGCTGTTTTTAGGAAGGAAAACCATCCATGTTTTTTTTTTTTTTAAATGATATTTATTAAAATTTCAAAAAATACAAGAATTACACAAAAACAGAAAGTAAAAATACAAGAAAATACAAAATACAGCAAGAAAAATAAAAAAACCCTTATTGAGACATAACAAAGAAATGAACAATAAAAAGAAACATACAAAATAAAAACAGTTAAGAACACATTAATTTTCCATAGCATATCTTCCTTACACTTATTTCCCCGGACCTCCTCGTACCTCCCTTTTTTGTATTCCAGTTCAGTTTGTTAGTTCAGCAAATCCTTACCATTAAGCTTTTACCCATTTGTAAACCTTTTTTTCGTATCTCTTAAAGCATTACAGCTGGAAACCACTTAGTTTCTATCCAACATCCTTCTAAGATTCATTAATTTTACAATATTTCTGTAAACAGTCTTTAAATTTCTTCCAGTCTTCTTTCACCGACTCTTCTCCCTGGTCTCGGATTCTGCCAGAAAACCATCCATGTTTTGGGGGGGTTCGGGTCAAAGTTGAGCTTTTTTTTTTTAGTAGTAATAATAATAAATTTTTATTTATACCCTGCCCTCCCCGGCCAGAGCTGGGCTCAGGGCGGCTAACACCGGTAAAATTACAAAAAATAAAAAATAGGGGGTAAAATAACCAATTTAAAATACGCATTAAAATACCATTTAAAATGGAGCCTCATTTTAAAAGTAGCCTATAGATCAGAACCATAAGGGGAGGGCAACATAAGGGTCAGACTGAGTCCAGCCCAAAGGCCAGGCGGAACAGCTCCGTCTTGCAGGCCCTGCGGAAAGATGTCAAGTCCCTCAGGGCCCTGGTCTCTTGGGACAGAGCGTTCCACCAATTTGGGGCCAGTACGGAAAAGGCCCTGGCCCTAGTTGAGACCAATCTAACCACCTTGCGACCTGGGACCTCCAAGGTGTTGTCATTTGTGGACCTCTCCATGGGGCATACCAGGAGAGGCGGTCCTGTAGGAAGGAAAGCCCTGTTTTTGGGGCTTCAGGGCATAGATGTAAAGCTTTTCTTAGGGGAGCCAAAGTTGCTGAGCTTCTTTGGGGGGAACCAGTGATCTATCACAGATGTCCAGTGATCTATCAGTAGATCACGATCTACCTGTTGGACATGGACTAGAGATTCCTTGGGGCCCCTTCCAACTCTATTCTTTTCTTTCCCCCTTTCCCCCTTTTCTATTTTTTAATTTCATTTCATATTTTGACAAAGTAATAATAAATAAATAAGAATGAAAATGTGCACCCCACCCCAGAGACCAATCCATTGTAATTATCCAACCTCCCAAAATTTCAGCACCTCTTGCGATGGTTTGACTCCTTTCCTTTTTGACACTACAAATTCTACAAACACCTTCTGTATCTGCTCAAAATCATTGCTTCTGTGTATTCCCCATCTTACCTTAACAGCACATGTTAATTTATAATTAATAGTTATATCCCACACCTCTTTATATCATTCTTCCATTTTATATTCCCCTTGCCCCTTCTGCTTCCTAGATATAACAACTCGTGCAGCTGTCAATAAAATTGTGAGCGAGTCCTTCGTAGCCTGTGAACCTTCCACCCCATCGTGTATTGATAACAGTGCTACCTCTGGACTCTGGGTTAGCTTTAACCCAGTGTTTTCTGTTATCTCCTTAAACCCCCTTTGCCAGAAAAAATGTACAGTGGTACCTCGGGTTACAGACGCTTCAGGTTACAGACTCTGCTAACCCAGAAATAGTACCTCGGATTAAGAACTTTGCTTCAGGATGAGAACAGAAATCGCGGGGCGGCAGTGAGAGGCCCCATTAGCTAAAGTGGTGCTTCAGGTTAAGAATAGTTTCAGGTTAAGAACGGACCTCCGGAGCGAATTAAGTACTTAACCCAAGGTACCACTGTACATATTTATACCCCAACCACAGGAGAACATAACTCCCGGTTTCCTGGCATCCCCTCCGACATAACACCGAATATTACTGGTGTTAAATGCCATCTCCAAACTAATTTATAATAATTTTCTTTTATCCTTACAGACAACATTTTGCAACGTACGATTCCCCCATATTTCCCCCCAGCTTTGACTATCTATCTGCCCTGTTGTCTCCTTTTCCCACACCTCTTTTAATTGATCTTCTCCGAATCTTACGATTCTATGAGAACAAGCCCACTTGTTTAGAGCCCAGGGAGAAGGCATCCCACCCCCCTTCGTGCTCCCTTGAGATAGGAAGCGTTCCCATCCCCCGCCCTGCAGAATCGGAGGCTTAGGGCTGTGCTTCTCCCTCTCTGCTTGCATTTATTGGGTAGAATCATGAAATTGGGGAGGTTGGAGGGTGATTCTGTCCAACCCCCTGCAATGCAGGAATAATAATATTTTTATTATTCTCCCTCCCCACTGCATCTGACTGAGTTGCCCCAGCCACTCTGTACACTTCCAGCATATATCAAAACATCACAAAACAAAACACATTCAAAGGCTGCCTTCAGATGTCTTCTAAAATAATGGTTGATGTCCTTGACATCAGATGGGAGGGCAACTTACAGGGCAGGCGCCACTACTAAGAAGGCCCTCTGCCTGTAACTTCCCTTCTGCCAGTTAGGGAACCTCCAGAAGGCCCTCGGAGCTGGATCTATGTCTGGGCTGTGGATACAGGGCCGAATAACAGCTGAAGAAACCTCAACAGGGATGATTCACACCCTGGCCAGCACTTCCTTGATCTCCTGCCCTCAGGCAGAAGATATAGAAGCAGGATTAGTCACACCAACAGGGTAAAGAACAGCTTCTGTCCGTGGGCTGTTAGGCTGCTGAGTGAAAAGATAACAACAGGGCAACTGACTTTCAGGTTTGGTGGGTTTGCGTCTGTAAACGAGGGGAATTAAGGCTAAGAGAGCTGAGTGGGGGGGCGTTCTCGTGTAATCTCACTGTATACAAGTTGTATACAAGTTGTACAAGTGACAATAAAGTATTTCAATTCAATTTCAGTTTCAACACGTGGGTCATGCAGCCTCGCTTTAAAAACCTCCAAGGAAGGAAAGTCCACTACCTCCTAAGGGAGACCATTCCACGGTCAAACAGCTCTTACCCTCAGATCTTCCTAATGTTTAGTTAGAATTTCTTTTCCTACCACTTGAATCCCTTGATTCAAGTCCCCCCTTCCAGAGCAACAGAAAACAAGCTTGTTCCATCTTCCATATACCCGAAGATGGCTTCCACGCCACCTCTCCATCTCTTCTTCTCCAGGTTGTTGTTGTTGTTTAGTCATGTCCGCCTCTTTGTGACCCCCTGGACCAGAGCACGCCAGGCCCTCCTGTCTTCTGCTGCCTCCCGCAGTTTGGTCAAACTCATGCTGGTAGCTTCAAGAACACTGTCCCACCATCTCGTCCTCTGTCGTCCCCTTCTCCTTGTGCCCTCCATCTTTCCCAACATCAGGGTCTTTTCCAGGGAGTCTTCTCTTCTCAGGAGGTGGCCAAAGTCTTGGAGCCTCAGCTTCAGGATCTGTCCTTCCAGAGAGCACTCAGGGCTGATTTCCTTCAGAATGGAGAGGTTGGATCTTCTCGCAGTCCATGGGACTCTCAAGAGTCTCCTCCAGAACCAGAATTCAAAAGCATCCATTCTTCGGCGATCAGCCTTCTTGATGGTCCAGCTCCCACTTCCATACATCACTACTGGGAAAACCAGAGCTTTAACTATACGGACCTTTGTTGGCAAGGTGATGGCTCTGCTTTTTCTCCAGGTTAAGCACCCCCAACTCCCTGAACCGTTGCTCATCAGGCTTAGTTTCCCAAACTCTTTTTCCCCATCTTGGTTGTCCCTCCTCTGCACACATTGGGTGTTAATTGTTTTTTTTTTTTTTTAATGTTGCATCCAATTATTCAACAACAATGGGAGTTGTAGTCCCAACGATTCATCATGTCGTGAATGCTTTAGCTGAGATTCCTGCATTGCAGGGGGTTGGACTAGATAGATAGATAATTTTTATTATTTATACCCCGCCCATCTGGCAGGGTTTCCACAGCCACTGTGGGCGGCTTCCAACAGAACACTAAAATGTAATAACCTATTAAACATTAAAAGCTTCCCTAAACAGGGCTCCCTTCAGAAGTCTTCTAAAAGTCTGGTAGTTGTTGTTCTCTTTGACATCTGGTGGGAGGGCGTTCCACAGGGCGGGCGCCACCACCGAGAAGGCCCTCTGCCTGGTTCCCTGTAACTTGGCTTCTTGCAGCGAGGGAACCGCCAGGAGGCCCTCGGAGCTGGGGTCCCTTCCAACTCTACAATTCGATGATTCGGATGAATCCCGGGAGGAATTTGCTGAGATGTCGCTGCGCAGTCGGTTCGGTCTGGCCGGTGAAGCTGGGGGTTCACTTTGTGTTGTTTTCCCTGGTGGCTGGGCTTACTTGCTTAAGGGTGAGACAAGATGAGAAGCGAAGGCGACTCTGCCCAGAGCCTGTAATATTGGATTAATATTAGATTAGCATTGCATTAGGCAAATTCATGGGGGATTAGGTTATCAATGGCTACTAGCCAATTTGGCTGCGCTTGGAGGCAGCAGTGATTCTGGGTACCAGCTGATGGAAACCTCAGGAGGGGAGAGTGTGGATCTTGTGTTCGAATCCTGTTGAGGGTTTTGATTGGGCCATCTGCATGGGCACTGTGAGAACAGGATGCTGGACTTAGGTGGGCTGCTGGCCTGATTCGGCAGAGCTCTCGTTGTTCTCTATGAACCACCTGGAGCTGTAGCCACTGTGCCGTGATCTGAATCATGGGGGTCGATCTGTTGCTGTTGTCCTGATACATAGCTGTCAACCTTCCCTTTTTTTGCGTGAAATTCCCTTATTCCAGCGCCGTTTCCCACTGCTTCCCGCTGCTATCCCGGATTGTTAGATATCCCATAGACTGTCCCCGGGACAGGTGA